ATAAGATGAGTCAATCAACAAGAAGGAGAGATCACTGATAATAAAAAAGAAACAAATACTGCGAAGATTGAGCGAATATGTCAGTGAACATTTACAACAGAATAAAAGTAAGTAACAAGACTAAAGGCTAGCCAATCAACAGGCAGGAAAGATCACTAATTATAAAACGAAACAAATACTCCGAAGCTTGAACGAATGTTGAATTCAGAGATTTCCTTTTCATCGACTGTTTGCTAACCAAAGCTATAGGGATCCGTCTATCCTGCTATTTATCCATATCTGGGGGAAGAGATGAATTCATATATTTCCCAAGGAAAATCAATGGACTCGACTGGAATTCGAACCCGGCTCTACGTTTCCTCAATCCGATTCGCTATTCAAAGTCGCTGTCCAGAGCCCAGATCGAATTCCAGTCGAGTTCGTTACATTCGATTACGCACAAATACCCTTGCGAACGGTGTGAATCTTTCTTTCCCCCAGTTTTGTTGAATAGCAGAACAGACTGGGTCCTTCAGCTTTGGTTAGCAACCAGTCTATCACACAAAAAATGTCAACGTACTTTGAAAAACTTTTCAGCCTATTCAGTACTGAATGGAAACAGACATTATCTCCCCAGCGTATAAGATTATCAAGCAAGATGATATCCCAAGTTGTAAACTATAAATTTGGGATGTCCAAATCGTGCGAGTATCGAAGTTTATGTATCTGGAAGTGTTATAACAGAGGATGAAAAAATATGACACCGAAATCCGAAGGCGCATTAGATTAACGAAAGTTGCTTTCCAAATCCTAAACCCATTGCAAAGAAGCAGATTCAATTTGTTAGAAACAAAGGAGATGATGCTGGATTGCTATGTGATATCCATCCTTTAATATGGCAGTGAATGCTAAACATTCTCCTCACGGATAACTAGATAACTGAAAGCAACAGAAATGTTGTTATGCAGGAGGATACTGAGAATTCCAGGAACGGAATGAGCTACCAGCAAGGAAGACTGAAACAAACGGAGGGAAAAAAAGACGTTATATTCACAATCAGAAAAAAGTTAGCTGAAATTTCTTGGATGCATAATGAGGAAGTGCGGCTTGGAAAACCTAATCCTCACGGAGCATATTTCCGGCAAGAGAGATAAGAAAACGTAAAGAAGAGCTTATGTGAATGGGTGGCGGGAAGCTGGTGCAAGCAGAAAAATTGCTTAGAGGGACAAGGGATAGATCGCTGATGGAACGTGGCACGTAGAATATGATAATCCCCCCCGGGTAAGCAACCGAATTAACTTTGGAGGGACACTATAGGAACCCCTATAGGACTTTGTCAGGATCCATATCTAGTCCAAATTTAGTTTACTTTTTTCTTCCGCTTGTGCTGTTAGACGTCGCGGGGAGTCAGAGTCGTCTCTCAGCGGCAAGGCGAGTGGGCTGGAGGAGAAATATCTCGCGGGATCTGAGAGTGTCTGCCACTTAGTCGCAAATTTATTAAGGTTGTTTATTTTGTACATATAGCTCACTGGAAACCCTATATCTATTGTCCTTAGCTGAAAGCATTATTTTCGTGGTACATGTGACGGAATATCGAATGATACTTATATTCAATTTACAGTTTTCATGTCGACACTGAATAGTCTTTTGTAAGTACAGTTTTAGATCGCTGAATCTAAAACTTCTTTCTTTGATGCCATTTCTTGTCGCCGTCTAAATATATTCAACCTCAAAACGATCTGACCATATGAAATACATAAACCTAGAAATATAAAATGGTTACTTTGTGTTAAAAAATTAAGTTCAGCGTGAATTTTTTTTTTAATAGACGGCGTTATATCGATAAACTACACCCGGTAACAAGGCCTCTGATCTTGAGGCTTTGTCAAGCGTTCAGCTACCTCTTAATTGTTGTTCCCAGCTGTACCTTGACCTGGGGGGGGTAACAACTGTTAGGGTGACAACTAATAGAAAATATCGAATCATCCATACTTAGGTCAAAACATGAAAATATAAATGTATATTAGTAAACAGTTACCAGCAATACATTTTTGAAAAAAAAATACTAAATCTCACAAGAAAATAAAATTTCGGCATTAAATGACCCATAAGGTGTTGATATGCCGTTAAAAAGAAACAAACCAAACCAAACTATAATGAGAAGTTTCAACAGGAATTATGTGATAATTATTCACTGCAGACTATTTTTGCTTTCTTTTCTTTTTCGAATCGCCATGTATTCTTGGGAAATAAAATGGATTATTTTTCCCGGTGCCTTCTCTCCACTTCAGCTGGTTGCTACCCACGGATTGAGATTCCAGTCTACCCAGCTATTTAACACACAGGTCGGTTGGGGTGGTGGAGACTGATTGATGCCTTTGCCAATAACATTTGCTCTAATGCAGAATATAAGTTGGAAACAGATAAATTTAATGAAATTTGAGTAAATGTTTACAAGTAAGAAATTAATACAAAGCCAGTCACTCAGAAAATGATATTATCGAAAATCAAAACAAAAATATACGATAAAAGCAGGATCTATGATGTCATCCAACGGATACAATATGATTATATATTAATATATAGCCACAGGCCTTTCGGTCGGTAGGTCTTGGATTCTTCTTTAAATGCCTGCCGTAGTTGATAACAGTCCAGTAATTACATATTGTGAATTTTACGCAATTTCTGGCGTTTATGTCTGAGGGTTGGATGAAAGGTCCATATCTGATTAATATACTCTCATACAATATAGCCAAATGTGGTTTGTTCTTCAACAATAATGAGTTCGTTCTATTTTTTTTCCTTTTAAAATATTGCCGTTGGACTTATGATTCTGATGTTTGACTATAACCTTTCTTGCCTTTTGGATTTGCAAGACTGATTTCACTGTCTTGCTGCCTTGGAAATTTGTTAACAGATGCACACTCAACCATAATAAATAATCCTGGTTTCATATTTTGCAGTGGGTTTCATGTTAACAAAGACCAAGCTTTCATAAAAGACGGTGAGCTGGAATTGGGAAGAATCAATCATGACACAAATGCGGAATTGATCATAAAATTCAGGATGTGGAATCAATATCTAGTAAACACTTCATATACATCAGTCAAAGGATCAATTACAATAAAATTAGTCGAGGAAATAAGTAAATTAAACATAGGTTTTGCTTTAGATCGCTGAATCTAAAACTTCTTTCTTTGATGCAATTTCTTGTCACCGTCTAAATATATTTAACCTCAAAACGATCTGACCATATGAAATACATAAACCTAGGAATATAAAATGGTTATTTTGTGTTAAAAAGATTAAGTTCAGCGTGAATTTTTTTTTTAATAGACGGCGTTATATCGATAAACTACACCCGGTAACAAGGCCTCTGATCTTGAGGCTTTGTCAAGCGTTCAGCTACCTCTTAATTGTTGTTCCCAGCTGTACCTTGACCTGGGGGGGGTAACAACTGTTAGGGTGACAACTAATAGAAAATATCGAATCATCCATACTTAGGTCAAAACATGAAAATATAAATGTATATTAGAAAAAAGTTACCAGCAATACATTTTTGAAAAAAAATATTAAATCTCACAAGAAAATAAAATTGTCCAACAACGCAATGAGTCAAACCAAATTATTAAACTAATAACTGCATAAATAACTAAGACATCAGACAAAACTATTTAAAAACATAGCTTTCTTAAACAGCTTCTTCTGATATCCTAGTCATTTATGGCGTTCATTCGGTCAGAAATGTCTGGACTATCGGCTATATAAAAATATTTTGTCAGATCAATAATTGAAAATAGATTCAGGCGAATGAACCATGTGTGACTTGAAGAAGATTAGTCTGCGTAGGTTGTTGTGGACTGACACTACACAATCACAAAATAGATTACCAAATAACCAAAGATATTCAAGAGCAGTAACATCTACAATTAATAGCAAATATAACAAGAAAAGAAATAATGACATAATCGGTTGGCTTTCCAAAATATTGGGGTTATATGAGAAAAACGAAATGTTAATTTACAACCAATAGAGGAAAAAAATAGGGTTTAAAAACCTATAAAATATGTAGGTAAATATTTAAAAATACAAAATTTATAACTAGAATTAAAAATCATATTCCAAAAAGCAAGTTATATTTAAAAATAAGATATAATTAAATAAGTCATAAATAAGTCTTAAAAATAAGTCATATTTAAATAATTTATCTGTAAAATAAGTAAAATGATATTTTAAAGTCATATTAATAAAAATATATAAAATATAAGTAAATATATTTATTTATAGATATATTATTTATATTTAAAATATAAATATAAAAAAGTTATAGTTAAAAATATGCATATAAAAAAAAAATCAAAATATGATAAGAAAATATATATTTAAAAGAAAATTATAAAAAGAAAATTATCAAAAGTTATAGTTAAAATAAGATATATCTAAAAACAAGTTATAGTTAAAAATACAAAGTTATACATAAAATACAAAGTTAAACTCGAAATTACAGTTTTAATAAAAAAATAACCTTCAAATATAAAGAGATGTCAGTGATAAAAGGAAAGAGAGTTCTTAGAACAGATGACAATTTAAAAATAAGATTAATATGGTGAATGATGGAATATAGAAATTAGAATTAGTTATACATTCGTCATTGGAAGAACTAGAGAAATATAATAGCAAATTAATTAACTCTCATCCCCTTTAACTTTTTTTTTAGCTTTCACAGTGAAATTTCTATTTCCGTCACGTAGTCTATACCTAGGTTGAATAAAACTGACGAATATTTCCGTCTGTTGAAATAAGTTTATTCCCCAGATGATGTAATTTTGGATTTTATTGTGTATAATTTTTTTTTCTGTAATAATAAATACAGGAAGACTATCACTGCAGTGGAGTCACGATTAAAAGATTAGAGAAGTATTTTCGCCATTTCGTTGGAATGTCTTGGGCTTTGGTGAGTTCAGGGATATTTTCAGACATTTTCTTCTCTGATTCCTATAAGAGTTCTTGCAGTTTCCTTTATGGGTCAAATCTATCTATCTTTGTATCTATGCCAGTCTCATATCTATCTATCTATCTATCTATCTATCTATCTATCTATCTATCTATCTATCTATCTAGTCTGTTCATATCTATCTATCTATCTATCTATTCTAGTCTGTTCATATCTATCTATCTATCTATCTATCTATCTATCTATCTATCTATCTATTCTAGTCTGTTCATATCTATCTATCTATTCTAGTCTGTTCATATCTATCTATCTATCTATCTATCTATCTATCTATCTATCTATCTCAGTTTGTTCATACACATGTATGTATCTGTCTATATGTCTATTCCTGCCTATTCATTATCTATCTATCTATCTATCTATCTATCTATCTATTTCAGACTGTTCATGTAACTATGTTTCTATGACTGTTCATGTAATTATCTGTTTCTATATTGTCTATTTCATTTTTTTATTTAACTATTTCACCTCAAGCAAAGCAATAAAGTCACTAAGACGCAAGAGGTTTCTGAGAGTAAAAAAGGGAGAAAGCGTTAGTGAAGAGAAAGGACAGGTTTTCTAATGACAGAAGCAACTGATTGACGCTAAATTGAAATTTTCGAACATCGTAGTTGGCCATCAAGATGCGTGAGAGAAGAAACGGTTAGAATAGAACAGTTGCAGCTAGCTATTTGAAAAAAAATGTCTTTGCTGACAATCTAGTACTCCGCTTAAATGCATGAAATCGCAGTACAAATGTCGAAATCAAATTACAACAACTGCCATGCAAATATTTATAATAAATTCACGGTGAAGCTTCGTTAATGTGATAGAAAAGTGACTGTTGCACACGTTTGCCAACTACAGAACACCATTGTCATGTTTACTGTCCAGCATACGAAGAAATTCTCATGAAGCTGCCCATTATGATCCAAGACTACTGGGATCTCTCACAAAACTGACCTTTGTCCCTACATGAATCACCTTCCAAACATTAGATGTAGACGTTTCACTTGCGTGAGATTTACGTCGTCAAAGTTTAGTTAAGAAAAGTGTGAAAATAACACTAGAATCCAACTACTGTACGCACTTACTGTACACAGGGGGAATTTAACATCGACTTATAAGGTTCCTTTTTTGCCAGCGTATGTGAAATCATTAGAATAAATGAAATTTTTACATGGCTGCTTGATAATGCCTACATTTGCTATTCCATTTGCATAACAGCGTACATCTTGGGTATGACGATAATCTATATCCACGTCTTGGATAGGATCATAAACTATATCCGATAGCAAGGCCTCTGATCAGGAGGTTTTGAGAAGTGTGTTGTTCCTAAGTCCACTTCGATCCGGAGTGGTAGTACCTGTTAGTGTTCCAGCTATGAGCAAATAGTTAACCACTAAACTGGGTTCAAAACCCTATGAAGGAGCAAAAATAGGTTTTAATACCAGCAATAAATTTCTGGAAAAAATTATTAGCAGAAGTACATTTTTGAAAAAAGAAATTACATTTTTATCAATACATTATTACAAGCAATACATTTTTGAAAAAGAAAAATAATACCAGCAATACATTCCAAAAAATTACCAATAATACATTTTTGAAAAAAAAATACATTATTATCAATACATTAGTACCAGCATTATATTTTTAAAAAACAAAAATATTATCAGCAATAAATTTAAAAAAAAAAAGCCAGCAATACATTTTTGAACAAAAAAATACATTATTATCAATACATTATTGCCAGCAGTACATTACCAGAAATACGTTTTTGAAAAAAAGTACATTGTATCAGTACATTATTACCAGCAGTATATTTTCGAAAAAGTAAAACATTACCAGCAATGAATTTTTAAAAATACGCAGCAATACATTTTTGATCAAAAAATATTGCATTATTATCAATACATTATTACCAAGAGTACTTTACCAGAAATACATTTTTGTAGAAAATATATATTATTATCAATACATTATTAGTAGCAATTTATTTTTGAGATTCAAAAATATTACCTGCAATAAATTTTAAAAACATTACCAGCAATACACTTTTGAAAAAAAAAATATTACAAAAATCTTGTCAGCATAAAATAACCCCTTAAGGATGACATGCCGTAAAGAGAAGACAACAAAGCAAACTAACTAATCATCAAATCTCCAGGTATTTCGAATCGTTTTATTCTGAAGATGGTGGTAGTAAGTGGTACCCTTTAAATGCTAAAAAATATATTTTAGGAAGTTTAGTTATAGTTTTAGCTCATTTGAAACCTATTACCTACCGAAACTAAGACACGTATAAATGCATACGTATATATAATCGTGTATATGGATCCATATTCATGTTTATCTATTCATGTATATGTATCTACGTATATGCATGTATATGCATCTATTTATATGTATCTATATACTTGTATATGTATCTAAATGTGTGTGTATTTATCCGCAAACATGCATATGCGTCTATATTTTTGGAGCTATCACCCTATTTCAATCATTTAAAATCTATGTATTTAAATCTGTTCATAGCTATCTATCTATCTTTCTATGTATTCTACTCTGTTCATATCTATCTATCTATCTATCTATCTATCTATCTATCTATCTATCTATCATTTTGTTCATATCCATGTATGTATCTATCTATTTGCCTATTCCTGCTTATTCATTATCTATCTATCTCTCTCTCTCTCTCTCTCTCTATCTATCTATCTATCTATCTCAGACTGTTCATGTAACTATTTTTCTATATGTCTATTCTTGTCTGCTCATAATTATCTATCTATTTCAGACTGTTCATGTAATTATTTTTCTATATGTCTATTCTTGTCTGCTTCTCTCTATCTATCTATCTATCTATCTATCTATCTATCTCAGTCTCTTCCTATCTAACCCATTCAATTCAGAACGTAGTAGATTCAAAACTACTTTTGATTTCTTAACACATACGCATTTATCTATCTATCTATCTATCTATCTATCTATCTATCTATCTATCTATCTATCTATCGATCTATCTATCTATCTATCTCAGTCTCTTCCTATCTAACCCATTCAAGTCAGAACGTAGTAGATTCAAAACTACTTTTGATTTCTTAACACATACGCATTTATCTATCTATCTATATATCTATCTATCTATCTATCGATCAATCTATCTATCTATCTCAGTCTCTTCCTATCTAAGCCATCCAAGTCAGAACGTAGTAGCTTCAAAACTACTTTTGATTTCTTAACGCATACGCATCTATCTATCTATCTATCTATCTATCTATCTATCTATCTATCTATCTATCTATCTATCCACAAAAATAGAAATAAAAAATAAAGCGAGTCGTATATTTTGCCACAAGACTCGCAGCAAATGACTATACTGATCTAGTTTATATATCGATGTAACTACATATCTATTGACACACCCTCACAAACACAAACATATGTATATTAGTGTACGTATATAAGCAAGAGCATGTATTCACTCACCAATTCATTGTCATGCAATAGTCTTTAAATAACATAAAAAAAAAATATCTGAAAAAATACTTTCCGAGCTATCATCTCTGATGGGAGTAAAACCATCAGTTGATGAACTCTATTCAGATAAATTGAATAGCGTGAGTCAAAACAAGCCGCGAGGTTCCTGATAACAAGATTGAAGTTGTATTCATATCAATGCATGTGGATTTTATCGTACAATTTTATATTTGAGCCAATATGAACTGGACGAGAGAAAGCAAACAAATATTGAAACTCACCTGCTACGGATCGGAGAAACGAAAGAAAAAAAAACGTAATCGATGCCTAATCAGTAGCGGGATGTAGAATAAGGCAGAGAGGAAGTATTTTTTCTCTGGAAGTGAATAAATATCAGGGAGAGGGGGAACTTAGAAATAAAATGAGTTAAAATGAAAAATAAATGAAAATATATAGAAAAGGTCGAATAGATTTGAACTAACTCCTCAGTAAATTAAAAAATATGGATGACAAAAAAAAAAAGAAAGAATGTGACAGAGAAAGAAAGAGAAAGGGAGAGAGAGAGAGAGAGTTAGAGATACAAGAAAATAAGGAATAATGGTAGAAATATAAAAACGATGATATTAGAAAAGAAAAATCGAAAGAGAGAAGGAAAAAAAAAATCAAAGAATATATATAAAATAAAAGAAAGAAAGAAAAAAAAGTAAAACATGGCCAATAAAAAAGGAGAGAAAGGAAATTGGTGTTGAAAAATAAAATAAGGGAAAAGAATAAAGAAAGAAATTGAAAAAAAGAAGATCAAAGAAATAATTGAAAATATTAAGAAGGAAAAAAATGAAAGTCCTGATAGAATGAAAATTAATAAGGAAAAGAAAGGAGAGAGAGAAGAATAAGAATAAAGCAAATAAATAAGCGAAGTATGAATAAATAATGAAGAAATGAAAAGGAAGAGAGAAGCAAGAGAGGAAAAGGAAATTTGTTAAGAAGGAAAATGGAAAAATAAAATGTAAAAAGAAAGGATAGAAAGAAAAATAATATAAAAAGATAGAAACGATGAAGATAAAGAAGTAAAGATGGAAAGAAAATTTAGCATCAATAAAGCAAATGAGCAAGAAAGAAACGGGCAGCATAAAAAGAAACTGAGTGAAGAGATAATGTCTGCAAAAGTGGAAACGAGGGAAAGAAAGAAATATAAGAAATAAAGAAAGTCGGGGAGAAATTAAGATAAGAAAAAAGAAAGAAGAAAAATCGAAATGAGTAAAGAAAGAAAGAAAGAAAGAAAGAAAGAAAGAAAGAAAGAAAGACTGTGATGGAAGTAGAAAAAACCGACGAAAATGGAAAGGGAAAAAGAAAGAAGAAAAATCGCGATGAGTAAACAAGAAAAAAAAAAGAAAAGAAAGAAAGAAAAAAAAAAGAATGCAAAGAAAAGAGAGAAAGAAAGAAAAAGAAAAGAATATGACGGAAGTAGAAAAGAGTCGACGAAAGATGGAAGAGGAAAAGAAAAGAAAAATCGAGATGAGTAAACAAGTAAAGAAAGAAAGAAAGAAAGAAAGAAAGAAAGTGGCCTGGAGAGAAGAGAGGAAGGGATATAGACAAATAAGGAGAGGCAGCAAAGAGAAAGAAAGAAAGAAAGAAAGAAAGAAAGAAAGAAAGAAAGAAAGAAAGAAAGAAAGAAAGAACACCAAAAGAATGTGATGGAAGTAGAAAAATGTCGACGAAAACAGAAGGTGAAAAGGAAATGAAATAATATGAAATAAAAGAAAGAATACAAATGAAGAGAGAATGAAAGAAAGAAATTAAAGCATATAACAAAATATTAATGGAAAGACGAAATTAATTCGCTGAACAGTATGAAGAAAGAAATGAATGAATGTGCTATAATTATATGAATAAATGCGATCTACGTTTAAGGTTCATAGGTTCAAGGCGTAAAAGATAAAGAAAACATTTAAAACAAACTGAAGGATCAGGCAAGCTGAAGAAGACAAACTCGAAATGTATGAAGGAAAAATCTTGAGGCAGCAAAAATGTAGTTCTACAAAAGGCAACTGAGAATTCCATGGACGACGCAATTAAGCACCAAGAGTGTCTTAAAGAAAATGGCAACAGGAAGGACACTTATACTCAAAATCAGAAACACATAATGAGGAAGGTGAGCTTAGAAAACTTAAACATCACGAATCATGCTGAGGTTAAGTGATATAGGGGAAGACAGCGAGTCACTTAACTGACGAGCTGGGGTAAACTGATGGCGGAACAGGTCTGGAAACTTAGTAGAAAAACAAAAAACAACTGCTAACGCCCACAATGGATAGGAAGTTGGAGAGCCAAAATCACTTATGTCCGGCTCAGGAAGAAGAAAAATTCCAGGAATAAACGCATTCATGACATTTCCAATGAACTAAGTACAGTAAAATGCTATTAATACCTATCTATCTATCTATCTATCTATCTATCTATCTATCCCAGCCTGTTCCTATCTATCTATCTATCTATCTATCTATCTATCTATCTATCTATCTATCTATCTATCTATCTATCTATCCCAGCCTGTTCCTATCTATCTATCTATTTATCTATCCCAGCCTGTTCCTATCTATCTATCTATCTATCTATCTATCTATCTATCTATCTATCTATCTATCTATCTATCTATCCCAGCCTGTTCCTATCTATCTATCTATCTATCTATCTATCTATCTATCTATCTATCTATCTATCTATCCGAGCCTGTTCCTATCTATCTATCTATCTATCTATCTATCTATCTATCTATCTATCTATCCCAGCCTGTTCATATCTATCTATCTATCTATCTATCTATCTATCTATCTATCTATCTATCTATCTATCTCTGTGTACGCATTATTTTTCTTTTGGCTGTCATCAGACACTTAAAAGAAGAATAATGCATATTATCACTAATTTGGAATGAAGGGATTAAACAACTGCAAGATAGCCAAAGATGCATTCCAAAACCTAAACGAGGTGCTAAGTAACGGAAAAGTTTCCGTTAGAAATAATAAAATAAAAAAGTGATGGATTCTGATGTGATATCCGTCCTCATATTGGACAATCTTCCCACGGATGAGGAGAACAACTGAGGCAGCAGCAAATGTGGTTCTAGAGAAGGATACTTAGAATTCAATGGATGAAAGCGAGTAAGAAACAAGGCAAAAGAAACTCTATCCCGCATACGCTTTATACAGTATAAAATAAGTATAGTATGTATGGAAGGTCTAATGTTCTTGTTGGTACGGGTAACGCATCGATTGTTGGCACAGAAATTGGCAAACCAGGTTCAAATTATGGACTAGCATTTTGCTTTCAATTTCATACTAATTTTCACCTATTTGCGTTTAATTAAACTAAACACTTTAAGATCAGGTGACCGCTAATCGAGGAGAAAACCAACACTGAGAAAACGGCAGAGAAAGCAACATTAAGTCACTGCAATATATTTCCCAATTTCATGTCAATTAACAGATAATTAAGGTATGTGTGTGTGAAGAGCTATTATTAACAATATCCTGAAGAGAAATGTTATTATATATATATATATATATATATATATATATATATATATATATATATATATATCAAGGAAAAGCTTAACACATCACGAAAATACGGAAATAGATCATGATTTATTTCGAACAGTAAGTCTCATCAGACCGAAGATATAAAAACTAGATATACTTTCCACCTACGGATATATATATATATATATATATATATATATATATATATATATATATATATATATATATATATATATATATGTAAGGGAAAGAATAAGACAGGAACACGAAATAGCCTTGTTTAAGAACAGGCCTACAGTGATGTAGAATGTGATTGCATCGATTTTAAATTGAAAAATCGACTAATGTCCTAAGGAGCGCTTTAGAGTCACGTCGTAGCACGTTGGCAATGACAATCATTTGCTACTCAACAAATGACAGAGGCGGGTAAGAGATCCATTTGCTGAACACGGATATCGGTATTAATTCTCATGCGCCCTAAATAGGGACCTAAGACATACCAAGGATGTATCTGGGTTCGTTGAAAATAAGATTCTTTTTTCATTTACACATCTCACATACGGCTTACCTTTTTTTAAATCCTTTAATGTAATTGTGGAACTCATTGCTCTAAGTTAATCTAATTGTTACTGTTTCCGAGTTAGAGTATATCATGGATATACTAAAGATTATAGTTGATGTTGGAGATCGGAGAATGACAACCTGTTCTCTTTCAAATCTTCCTTTCAAAGCTTACAAATAAGCCTATTTGCTTGATTAGATCTATCGCGAGTCAAAATTAGAATATCAGATGTTGATTTCCAAAACAGGTAAACTATTTCTATTTACAAGATTAGCGCAACACACTCATCTTACAATCATTTCTGCACGGCCGTTTGGCATTGTGTCGAATTAAGTTAAGCTTACTTACTATCAAGAAGAAAAGAGGTCTTTCGTGATGAAGAAAATGAAAACACAAAAGAAAAAGTATGATAAAAGAGAGAAAAACTTGCAATCAATGACAGAAGATTGATTAAATTTACAAACCTTTATTTTTTTATTTTTTTATTTTTTTACTTCTTCATATTACACCCAATCTGACTTCTGTGTGTAATTATCAGAAATTAATAAGATTTTTTTCGAGACGAGAACTTGTGTCGCCAGATGCTAAAAATAAAATCCATTTCAGCCTTTTCATGCCGTTCATACGATACGAAAGGCACTCTGCTGGGAAGAAGACATTTTTATGATTCAATACAAGAGAATACTGATTGCTTCGCAGTAAAGATTTGTTGACGGTCGATTTCACCAATTTCTTCCTCTGAGATAAATT